GTTTGCTCAGCGCTGTACATTATAGCGGGGACAGAACATGAGACAATACAGTAACAAAACAAAACATGAGGGGTTTGATGGCCCTGCTCTTTTGAGCTTACAATCTAGGAGGGAGGGGATAGTGGTACAGGAGGAAGTGGCTATGGGGGATAGAGTGGTAGGAGGAGTGGAGGAGATCGGCTGTTAGGTCAGGGCGGGGTAGTCTTCCCTGAAGAGATGGGTTTTCAGGGTGTACCTAAAGGTGAGGAGGGTAGGTGACAGTCTGATGGATTGGAGTAGTGAGTTCCAGAGGATGGGGGAAGTCCTGGAGAAGTCCTGCAGTCGGGCGTGGGAGGTGGAGACCAAGGAGCTAGAAAGTAGGTGGTCTTGTGAGGAGCGAAGATTACGGGTAGGGTGGTATTTGGGTATCAGGTCGGTGAGGTTGTTTGGGGCAGCATTATGAATGGCTTTGTATGTCTGTGTTAGTAGTTTGAATTTAATGCGTTGGGCAATCGGGAGCCAGTGGAGGGAATGAAAGAGGGGGGTGCCAGAAGCGGAGTGGTTGGTAAGGTGGATGAGTCTGGCCGCTGAGTTCAGGATAGACTGAAGCGGGGATAGTCTGCGATGAGGTAGGCCGGTGAGAAGGGAGTTGCAGTAGTTCAGACGTGAGATAATAAGGGAGTGAATGAGTTGTTTAGTAGTGTCTGGGGTTAGGAACGAATGTATTTTGGAGATGTTGCGGAGGTGGAGCCTGCATGAGTTTGCCAACGATTGGACATGGGGTTGGAAGGACAGGTTTGAGTCTAGAGTGACACCTAGGACTTTGGCTTGCGGGGTGGGACTGATGGTGGCGTTGTTGGTCGTGATGGAGAGGGTGGAGGGGGGAGGCATGGGCTGGTGGGAAAATCAGGAGCTCGGTTTTGGAAAGGTTCAATTTGAGGGAAATGGAGCGCGACATCCAGTCTGATATGTCGTTCAGTAGGTGGGTGATAGGGGTGAGGCGAGGGGTGGAGAGGTGATAGTTGAAGCCGTTGGAGTGTACCAGTTTGCCGAGGGAGGAGGTGTAGATGGAGAAAGAGAAGGGGCCCGAGGACCGAGCCTTGGGGGACCCCAACAGAGAGGGGGGGAGAGGGGAGGTGGTAGCATTATAGGTAACGCTGAAGGAGCGTTGGGATAGATAGGAGGAGAGCCAGGAGATGATGCTGAGGGAGTGTAGTTTGAGGAGGGGGTGGTTGACTGTGTCGAAGGCTGCGGAAAGGTCGAGGAGTAGGAGGACTGAGTAGTGGCCATTAGCTTTGGCAGTTAGCAAGTCATTAGTGATTTTGAGTAGGGCGGTTTCAGTGGAGTGTAGGGGACGGAAGCCAGACTGTAGTGGATCGAGGAGGTTGTTGTCAGTGAGGTGGACGCTTAGGCGATTGTATTCTAAACACTCAAGGAGCTTGGAAGTAAATGGCAGCAGGGAGATGGGTCTAAGGTTGTTCAGGTCGGTGGGGTCCAGGGAGGGTTTTTTGAGTATGGGGGTGATGTGCGCGTGCTTTAAGGGGGAAGGGGAATGCGCCAGTAGTGAGGGAGAGATTGAAGATGTGGGTGAGGAAGCGTAGGATGGAGGAGGAGGGTGACCGGAGGAGTTGTGTGGAGACAGGGTCAAGGGGGCAAGTGGTGAGGCGGGCTTCTGAGAAGACCTTAGTGACCTCCTTAGTGGTAGCAAGGCTGAAGGAGCGGATTGTTGGGGAGGTTATAGTGTTTGGGACGTTAGGTGTGGTGGGGGTAGGGCGGTTGCGAGGTCAGAGGAGGGAAGAGTTGGTGGGGTTATGGTGGGAGGGGAGGCTAGGTGGGGAGGTAGGTTGAGCATTGGCGATGTCCTTACTGATTGCGTCGATCTTATTTTTGGAAGTGATTGGCAATCTCGTGGGCGGTGAGTGAGGGGGGGGGGGGGGGGGGGGAGACTAGGGAGTTGAAAGTGGAGAAGAGCCGGCGAGGACAGAGGTGGAGAGGGTTGTTTGGCGGTGTGGAGGGAGGAGGAGTAGGTGAGGAAGGCGGATTTGTAGAGGGAGAACGCTTGAGGGGATCTGGTTTTGCGCCATAATCGCTCCAGCACACGACTGCGTCGTTTAAGATTTTTAGTGTGGTCGTTCTGCCATGGTTGAAGCGGTCGGGGTCTAATGCTACATGTGGTTAGGGGTGCTAAGGAGTCTAAAGGCTGCTGACAGCGAGTCGTTATACGCAGTAGTGGCCAGGTCAGGGCATGACAGTGGAAGGATACTGTCGTACAGACGGTCAGCTGCAGAGTGGAGAGGGGCCCGGGTTCAGGTTGCGGAGATTATGGCTGGTGATGATTTGACGTTTGGGGTGGAGGCGTTATAGGACGGAGAAATGGAGAACGTAATGAGGTTGTGGTCAGAGAGAGGAAAAGGGGTGTTTGTGAGGTTGTGGAGGGTGCAGAGATGGGAGAAAATGAGGTCCAGGGTATTCCCATTGGTGTGGGTGGAGGACTGTGTGCACTGTGTGAGTGCAAAAGAAGAGGTTAAGTGGAGGAGTTGGGATGTGGCTGGGTTGTTGACATTGATAGGGATATTGAAGTCTCCAAGGATGATGGTGGGTAGCTCAGAGGAGAGGAAGAAGGGCAGCCAGGTGGAAAAGTCGTCAAGGAAGTGGGAAACGGGTCCAGGAGGCCGATAGATTACTGCAATCCTCAGAGGGGTGGGAGAGAAGAGTCGGATGCAGTAGGCCTCGAAGGAGGAGAAGGATAGGGGGGTTTGGGAGGACCTGGAAGGTGGTCAGCGGTGACAACAGCACGCTGACCCCACCACCTCTACGGCCACTCGGTCTGGGTAAATGGGACCAGACGAGACCTTCATAGGAAAGTGCCACAGGGGAGGTGGAGTCAATGGCTTGGATCCAGGTTTCAGTGACCGCTAGGAGGTTGAGGGAGTGGGAGACAAAGAGGTCACGGATGGCGGTGAGCTTGTTGCAAACCGATCGGGCGTTCAGGAGTGCAACCGAGAGTGGAGGGATGGATGTGGGAAGGAGGGGGACAGGTATAAGGTTGAGGGGGTTGCGGCGGTTCGTGGGGGTAGGAGGGTGCCTAGTGGGTAAGTGAGGTGGAGAAGGACCAGGGTTTGGGGAAATATCCCCAGAGGTTAGGAGAAGAAGAAGGGTGAGGAAAGTAACATGGGAGCGGGATGTACACGAGCGCACATGCCTTCCAGGCCTGGTGTTTTGGTCAGCAGGAGAGTGAAGTATCAGCAGGAGGTGATGAGCAGTGAGAGCGGAGCAGTAGTAGGGAGATGAAAAGAAAGCAGTGAGGGTGAGATGTACAAGTTTTGGGGTGGAGCAGCAGAGGGGTAAAGAAGTGAGATTTTGGGAACACAAGAAAGTAATATGAAAAGGAGGAGTAGAGGGGACATATTAAAAAGGTACTCGGAGTGGCAGTCAGACTTGTAAGAGATGTTTCCCAGGGTGTTTGCTCGCAGTCTGTCCAGCATGCAGTAGAGTTTCTTGCTGTTGTTTGTGTCTTCCTGCTGCTTGAGTTCTCCTGCTTTAGTTCAACTGCTGTGTTTAACTGCTTCTTCTTAGCACTCCATCAACGCAGCACTCACGTAATGCAGCACCCCCATCAGAGACTGTGCCCCCCGTCAGTGATCTCCCCCCATGAGCTGATCTAAATTTATAGGGAGATGCTCAAATGAACATTCAACTCCACCCCAAATAGAAGCTGATAAGGATCACATGAATAGTGGGGGATGTTTCTCAGGAAACAGACTACAGTCATAAAACGGGTGCAGCTAGAGGTGAGAAACTGGTCAACATATACACAAATATAAATACACTATTTGTTCTGAATTTAGCAGGAGTCAATGCTTTTCCTAGTTAAGAGTGGAGATAGGAGATAGGTGCATTTACCCAGAGAAAAACAGCAGGAGTCCATTTCTCTTTAGGCCAGTCAATGTGCTCTTTGGCAAATTGTAACCTCTTCAGCACATGTCTTTTTTTCAACAGTGGGACTTTGCGGGGGCTTCTTGCAAATAGCTTGGCTTCACATAGGTATCTTCTAATTGTAACAGTACTCACAGGTAACTTTAGACCTTCTTTGATCTTCCTGGAGCTGATTGTTGGCTGAGTCCTTGCCATTTTGGCTATTCTTCTAACCATTCGAATGGTAGTTTTTCGCTTTCTTCCACGTCTTTCAGGTTTTGGTTGCCATTTTAAAGCATTTGCGATCATTTTAGCTGAGCAGCCTATCATTTTCTGCACTTCTTTATATGTTTTCCCCTTTCCGATCAACTTTTTAATCAAGGTACGCTGTTCTTCTGAACAATGTCTGGAACGACCCATTTTCCTCAGAATTTCAGAGAGAAATGCACTGTAACCAGCATGTACAACATTTGCTGCCTTCCTTCCTTAAATAAGGGCAATAATTGCCACCTGTTTTTCATGAATGAATGACCTCACTAATAGAACTCCACACTGCCATTATTTTGAACATGCCCCTTTCAATTAGTGATTCAATGACACAGAATCAGCAGCATGCATGTCATGACTGTTGGGTCTGTTGGATTTCTATGACTCTACTACAACTGCTAGTAAATTATTTGCCATGTAGAAATATAATTTCTACCAAAAGCAGTGATTGATCAGGTTAGTGATGTCTGACTGCTATTATTTTGAACACAACTGTATATGTAAAGCGCTGCGTAAATTGACAGCGCTGCGTAAATTGACAGCGCTATATAAGTACCTGAAATAAATAAAATCCGACACATGCAGCACCTAGAACCAAGTTCAGCCACATTAGGGGACAGTGTATGATGTTATCTTTGTCTAAGTATGGTCACATTCCCTGCACATTCAGAGAGGTTCTCCATTACTAGCACATCCAAAAATTTTTCTATCCTGTCATTAACTGCAAGGTTTTCAGAAAGTACAGATGAATCCCTCTACTACATGAGCTCAAGTAATGCTTTTGTGTGAAATAGAAATATCATTGAAATAGCTGCTCTTTATCTATTTTTTTTTCTTAGATGATTTGCCAAAGAAAAGACCTTCCCAAATCTACAAGCCCTCCGACCCAGAAACGTTGGCTTATCTTGATTTTAGTGTATCTACAACTGGAATGCTTGCAGGGGTAAAGGTATGTACACCATGGCATAGTGTTACTACTTTGCACAACTTTAGATGTTTTCTTCCTTGACATGATTGGTCATTGTAATCTGTGTTCAAGATAGTTTAGCATAATGCTAAGCAAAGTAAAGGTTGTACTTGCCACTGCCAAAATTATACCCTTTACACTGATGACACCACTTCATAATAAGATTTTGAACGCACTGTTCTTTTAGACAATGTCTGTACCCTGCCTGCTTCTGCTGCTTTACAAGCCTTTTGCACAGTGTAGGTATGGGGCAACAGGATTTCACTGTGTTAGTCAAAACAGCCAAGTGTGTTTGCACCACTGCTCATGGGATCCAATGAATCCTATAATCAATGGGTTGGGGCATGGCCTGAGTGCAGCCATGTGCAGTTGGGTCTCATACAGCCTCTTGAATAGCTCTCAGCAAAATTTGAGATTCAAACTATCCTGACAATGGGAGAGTGTGTACTAACCTGTGATGGAGAGAGAGCAATGCAGGAGGATATGTGATACCAGCCATGTGGAAGGTGCTGAGGAGGATGCAGAGAAGATCAAGGTGGTGTGGAGACTATTTTTTACCTACAGTTTTATGAGTTGCTGATAAGAATCCATCTTTTTGAACAGAGTGCTGAGGAGGCATGTTAGGTGCAGATTGGAAAGATCAAGGTTGGGGTGTAGGGGGCCCCAGACATTTTGGTACCTTTTTCATAGGCTTTTTTATGAGTATGGGCAAGGATAAGCGGAACCATTTCCCATCTATTGCCACAGAGAATTTTCAGTAAAAGGTTTGGCTGAAGAGCTTCCCTTCTAATGTTTCAAGGTGCAGAGGGGCGGACTGAAGCATTGGAAACTCGGGCACGGCCCCGAGGCTCTGGGGTCAGTAGGGGGCCCCCCCATTTCTTTTAAGTTTATTTCCATGACATGCCCCTGGTACCCCTTATTTTTTCATAGGCTTTTTTGCCCATAATCCACCCCTGGCTTTTTGCCAGGGAATTCTTGTAAAAACAGGGCCTTTCTAGATGACTTTTTACCATCTTATTGGGATGCCCCATAATGGCCTTTTTTCTTATTGGATGCATTAGATCCAAAAACTGCTTGGAAAAAAATGTGTACAGCATTTTGCCCGTTCGGTTGGCCCCATGAGTGTCTATAGTATAAAAACCCCTGGTTAGCTTGTGCACTCTTATTGAGCACCCAAAATTGACATGCTTTTAATTCATTTTTTAATAAAAAATAGCTTCCAGCATTCCCATGTCTCACTTGTTTCAATGGCTTTTGTTCAGATTTAGTGTGCTTGAAAGCACTAAATCTTTAAAACTTCCTCAAAATCTATGGCAATTAGCTAAAAGGGTATGTTTAAACCTCCCCCATGGGCTACAGAATGATTTACGGCATCAGGTGCCAGGCATAACTGAGAAATGTTTTCTTAAGTAAACCTTATTATTCCAGGTATACCTTCCCATCTGAAAGCCATAAGGATTAAAAAAGTCGAAGGGGGTTAGTTATTACAGTGGTCACTTTATTGGGGGTGATTATAGTATATTTTTTATCTAACTGTGGTCACTGTACAACGGTTGACTGTAAGGTATTGTAACCATAGAAAAGTAAACCATAGATATAAAATTGGAAGTATTCTTGACCTCCTTTTGTGAGCACCCATAATAAATCTTTGCCTGAGCTTGCTATGGGAATTCCCTAGTAGGAAATTCTGGTAAAATTTGAAACTAGCACTTAGAGCTGCCTGATTTAGCTTTGAGATGGTTTTTACCATCTTATTGGATGCCCATTAGATCCAATAAGCTGCTTGGAAAAACAATGAAAAATGTACAGCATTATAAAACATGGTTCGGTTGAATGTGAGTAATCACTACTGTCTATAATATAAAACGGTATTAAAGCAGAATGTAACTGTATCTGAGCACCACAAAATGACATGCTATTTAATTCATTTTTAATATTCAGAGCAAACTCATCCTTCCATTCATGTCTCTTATCTTGTTGAGAAAACACTTTGAAAAAATGTCTCCCTAGCATTTCTAGCCGTGACCATCTTGGGTAGGTGCAAATGATTCATCTAGCATTTACTTCCTCAAAATCCATCTGCCTTTAGCTAAGGCAGGAGGGTATGTGTATATGCGAAAGCTCCTCCCCCCCTGCTAATAACAGAAAGTCTCATGAAGACACCTGGGATGTACGGCATCATTCTGGCTTATGCGAGAAACCAGGAAGAAACTGAAGAAATGTAAAAAACAGTTTAAAACAAATAAATATAATAAACCTTATCTATTTAAATATAAATATACCTGTGTATTTACTAAGACTAGCAGCATAAGGATTAAAAATAGTTATTTATTGATTGAGAGAGTTTAGTTTCACCTTTAAGTGGTCACTGGTACAACGGGGTGACTGTACAGTGGGGAAAAAGGTATTCGTGTAACCATAGAAAGTAACCATAGATATAAAATAATGACTATAAACCTTGACCTCCTTTTTGTGAGCACTACCCAAGCCTGCCTGTGTCTACACAGTGCCAGTTGCTATTGTTCTACCCTAGTAGCACCCCCCAATGTTTCCATTTCCAACTGCATTGAAACCAAGCAAGGCTTTCAGGTTAATTTAGGCTTTCTGGTTCAGGTAAATAACCCTACAGTGCTCTGATGAGGACCGTCGGATCAAGCATGTATGATTACCTTCTATGTCTATACAGTGCTTTCCATGGATCAACCAGCCATCCCTTATGCAATTGGGTCTTTTTTTACTAATTCAGCGATTTCTTCTTATTGATAACTTAAAGTCACTTTTTTCTGTGAAGCTAAGACATGGAGAAACTGTGTGACAGCTCCATCACAGTATCAAAATGCCTGCTTTATACTGCAGCTTTTTCTTGGAAAAGTGATTTGTCTAAATGTTCTGTATTTATTCACCGCAAACTGCATTCAGTACAAATCTGTTACAGATTGCTTTAACAAGCTGTAATTTCCAAGTCAGGCAACCAGTGTAGTAAAAAATGTTCTGCTCTATCATAAAGATTTAATGGCTCCAGAGCTGGGGCCAAGCCTACTATTTCAGTTCATTAGGAGCATAAAAAAATTTAAATGAAGGCCCACTCCAAATGTATCATGATGCTCTTTAGTAACTCTTTTGGTGCCACAGGGCTTTGTGATTTATTACTAGAAATTACTTCGCTCCCCTTTTTGTTGTGAAAAAAGAATACACTTCTCTCAATACAGTTCTATATTAATTGTAACGATTTTTAACAACATTTATATGCAGACCCTTACCTTCTGCTGCCAGTTGGAACTTGTGAACACCATTCATGTTCTCCTTCTTGTGTGCTGAATGGAAGGGTTTTTGTGTTGAAGTCACATGATCAGTCACAGTGTTCAAACATAAATGGTTAACACGGCTTCTTTTTTCATAAAGCAGAATTCCCCAACAAAATTCATAACCTCAGGATCTCATTCTGTGCCCCATATTTGTGTTTTTTTTCTGTGTTATTCATATCTTTTCCCTTCAAAATATATAATAATCTTGCTTACACATCTGATGTGTTACTGAGGAGAAATTAAAAATGCCTACTGAAGTATAGATTATACAGTTTTCTTTCCTTCCTCCATGGGTGGAAGGAAAGGTGATTGCTGTCCAGTCCCCCATCAACACATTCAGGGTTTAAGGGGGAATCCCTCCTGCAGCACTCTTGTGTTCTGCCGGCAGAACACAATGATCACTGCTAGTGGTTATAGTCACAGACAGTGACCGCATGCAAAAAAATTGACAGACTGGTTGTGCTGAAGTCAGTCTTCAGTTCAATCAACCTGTCCATAGATAGATCGAATCTCTGCCAGTCCCTGCTGAACCAGCCGCGATTTGATCCATCTATGGCCAGCTTTAGTTGTCTCTCCTCCCCTGTATTGTGTTTAGAGAATGAATGAACAGCAGGCCACTAATGAGATCAACCTTCTACTAACACCCCCCCCCCCCCCCCCCCAACGCCCTCAGTCTGACTACTGCTATGGGTTGAGCAGGCCAGGCAATAAGTAGTTGGTTGCAGGAAAGAAAATTTATCTATTCCCCCATCAGCACAATCAGTGTTGATGGGGAATCCCTCCTGCAGAGCTTTTGTATTCTGACATTAGGAGGTTTCCCAGCCTTCAGAATACAATAATCACTCCCGAGTGCCACTGGCAGTGATCAAACACAAAAAAAAAAAACCCAACATGCTGGTTGTACCAAAGTTGATAGATGGATCGGACTTTGGTACAACCAGCCTTCTCATACATGGGTCAAAACTTGCCCATTCCCTGCTGAACCAGCCAAATTTCAATCCATCTATGGCCAGTTTGAAAGGAAGATGATATAAAGACAGATTCAGACACACATGCTAGTTATATGTATATAAAGCTTTTAATCATACTATATGTACTGTACTGTATATAAAAATATATACAGTATACTGGATTGCAAATGCTCACCCAGTACTACCTTTTTGTGTTCTTTTTTTTGCCTTTTGGTGAGTATATGTGTAGGTTTTATATTCCAGTTGGAAGACAGTTGAAATTTGTGTTGTTTCTTTTAATGATAGGTGTTTGTGCCTAATAATTACTTACCAAAGTGTTTTATTCTAAGGCTCGGTCATAACAGTAAGTGTTTGCATTGCAGTGTGAACTCTACCCATCCAGAGAGGTGGCTATTTGTCTGGATCCTTACTGTGGATTGGGCTTTGTCCTGTGGTGCCTCTGTAGGTATGTTTTTCGTGTGCAATCTATATCAAATGAATGTGTTCTGTCCAAAAATTTCTTGTAACTGCACACATGGTGTACAGTTCAACATGAACCCATAAATTCTGTGCTGTGGATTTTTGTCTGCGTGTAAGTTATTCAAATATTCATCTTATAAGTTTGTATGGGAGAAGTGATGTTGCTGTACTGCATTGTGCTTTCATGATAGATAGCAGAGAGCTACTCTAGTCAGTGAATTAGTACTGCATATACATAAGTAATCTCTTCTGACTGCCTAATTCAACTTTTTATAAGTTTTTATATAAAAAAAATTGGTTGTTAAAGCATACCATTGTTTTGTGTTTTTCACATTTAATTTAGCTTTATGATTACATTTCGGCACCCTACCACCCGGTATTTTTCAACATGAAAATGGCAAACATTGACTGAAGCCAATCAGCTGTGGTCACTGTGTGGAGGCAGACACCATATGTATATATTCATATCTTAATTGTACAGTACAGGACACTGGATGAGCATTCATAGACTACACATTTTACCTTCATGGAAAACTTTTGATGACATTCCTCCTGGGTGTCCCCCTTATAACCCTACCCCACTCCATGAGCCCTCAGTTTATTGCTAGTGTCCTAAGGTGGTAGACCTCTTCAGAGAAATTACTTTTAGCTTAATTTATTATTTTCGCTTTGAAATCTTCAAACAACTCTTCGCTGTCTTCTAATACAACAATAGAAGCAGTGCAACTTTAGTAAAAACCTTGAAAACTGTATCTGAATCCCATACTTTCCTGTTAATGTTGAGCTTGGCTATGATAGGTGTTCAGTCACCACAAAGGAAGAACAAAATGGGGAAAGGCCAAGCTTGATTTTTTTACAGGAAATCTGTTTAAATTTGTTTTCTTTAATGGTACTGTTGTTGCCTTTAAATAATAATTTAGATTTTAGGGTCTGTGTTGACATGCTTTGGGCCTTGTGTTGACGGCATAAGTTTGACATTAGTTTAAGACGCTTCTGAGATCATTCAGAATTCATTGACAGGCGCAGTTGACCTCCTTCTGACCTGCATTTGACCTGCTTCAAGTAGGTTTTGCATTGCCATAGATTTGTATAGGAATGCAAAAACTGTTGGATACCCATTGATATAGACTCTTGGGTTTACCATTCTGCCACTCAACTTTTACCAAAAAGAAACCAGTACTGAAAGAAATATGTTGCCATTGTTTTTTATTCTATTGAAAATGCTAGTCTTGACCAAGTGCATTCAACCTCTTCAGGCCACTGAGCTGGAATAAGTATGCACTGTAGATCAGCTGTTCTGTTTATGTTAGCTGTTTTTTGGCTCTAGGTCAGAAAACATTTGAAGGGTTAGTTCACCTTTAATGACTTTTACCCAAAACATCCCTATACATTACAACATCCTCTGAACATTAATATGCAGTGCTCTGTTTTGTAAAATAATTTTTAAGCTGCTTATTCCATTGCTAGTCCTTCTGTCCTGCAGATGGCATGATGTACCGAGATTGGCTATATGGCTCCCAAAAACTCAGCATCATGCACTCTACTTTGTTCATTACCCATGCATGCAGTCTGCTCTCTTTTACTCTTACATAATGCTGCGTTGCATTGTGAGAAAGAGCGGATTGCACATGCGTGGGTTGGGAACGAAGCTGTGAGTTGCCGCTGCCACACATCCAAAGCTCGGTACGTCCTGCTATCTGCAGGACAGAGGGGAGGGCAATGGAATAAGCAAATTAAAAAGTAAGCATTATATTACAAAATGCTGCTCTGCATATTAATGTACTAAGGATGTTGTAGTGCATAGGGATGTTTTTTTTTGCAAAAGTTATTAAAGACAAATTAACCTTTTAAGCCAGTGACAGCCGGGCAACTAGCATTTTCAGAAGGAAGTCAGTAGTAAACTTGATGTTGTATTGATTGTAAACACCATCTTCGACTTTCAGGTTCTTTTATTATTATTTAGCCCAGTCCAGTATGTCAGCAAATAAGAAACACACCATAGATTAGTGACATAAAATAGTAAATTAGATTTAATAGCTGTGTTTGGTCATAGCAGTTTGCCTAGTCAGCAATGTCCGTGTAATAAAATACTGCAGCCTGACTCAGAGTGCATGCTAATATGTCTCATGTCTTTACAGCGTATATTCAGGACACCAGTCTATTCTGATTCCTCCCTCAGAGCTGGAGATCAATCCTGCCTTGTGGCTTCTTGCTGTGAGTCAGTACAAAGTCAGAGACACATTCTGTTCCTACTCTGTAATGGAACTCTGTACCAAGGGACTTGGCTTGCAGACCGAATCCTTAAAGGTAATGCAAGCATTTCTTCCCCAGTCAAGCTGTTTATCTGTAATGCATACTGCATAATATATTATTCTTCCCATTGGTATCTCTACATATAATGTTATATCTATGTTTCTAAGCAAAATCTTTATGGGTCAAACTGACCAAAACTGGTATTTTATTATATCATTAATGCCATCATGTTGAATCAAGCACCATCTTTTTATCCATCTCATGGCAGGTCAATTCTCAGCTTTGCTTACCTGTAGCAGTTATTTAATTCAATCATTGGAGGTTCCATGTAATTGTAAAAATTGTGTGCTGGATTATCCTTTATTGTAATTTTTTCTAAAGTACCCAAATAACAATATTGTAATTTATTGCTGCTTACCTGCCCTTTTGAGTGTTTAACTTTTTACCTGATGCTTTTGGCTGTAACACACTTCCTGTCCTATTCTGACAACACATGTTGCACTCTACGTGTAAAAAAGTGCAACGCTTAAAAGCGTAAATAATAACTCCAATTGTGTAAATCAACAGACATAAAAAAATCATATAAATGATCAATTCAGGTACAGAAAAGCATAGTGAACAGTCATTGAATGTGAAAAGAGATCTTCAATCACAAGGAATATTCTTGTATATCCAACTGCACTCTTATTCACCCCACTCAATGTGAAATGTCCTTGGGTACAATCATAGATGATCGAAAACATAAACGTGACCAAACACAATCTAGTGCAGTGCGTGTCACCCCACTCAGTGCTCAAGGGAGGCTTACTGGTAACATTTGACCATCATGTTATAGAATGGTCAAACAAAGCATGTAAATGATCAAATGGCAATCACTTCAACTTCCTCCACAGCCTCCAAATAGGTATAAAAAGACATTCCCAAACTCCACATGGATCATCGACATCAAAGTTATAATGGACATGTATGTGAGACAAAAAGGCTTTCCATAGAGGAAAATCCTTTAAACGTTTACTAAAATCAAAGTAGTACACTTACATGTATAGAGATACAAGACAGCGTTGTTAAAATGGCAAAACACCATGTGTGCCCACTTCCAAAGATGGCCACGAGCATGCGCGCATGCATGGTGACATCCGTCCTAGCTCCACCCAACACGTTTAGTTGGAAATGGCGTTATCAAGGGTCTAGGATGCACGTCCATCACCACGCTCCTATAGGAGGATCACAGAGAGAGCTGGCTGTAATTGGTAAAGCACGGGGATTGACAAGGATGCCAAAGCAGAGCCGATTGGTCAAGCCCCGCAATCAATATTGCCATAGCAAAGCCACAAGCACCCCAGAGCACAAAAGAAGCAACCAGACAGCAAATAAAAAATATTCCACAAAGGTCTCAGAAAAACCTAAATTTTTACAAAGACCCAGGCGATTAACCAAATCGTCATGATAAGATTAAAAAATAAACGGCCAAAACGCCGCAGCCATATAAGATTAAGCTATTAAAGCAGGGGTGTCAAACTGGCAGCCCTCCAGCTGTTGCAAAACTACAAGTCCCATCATGCCTCTGCCTTTGGGAGTCATGCTTGTAACTTTCAGTCTTGCAATGCCTCATGGGACTTTGGGACGTCCCTCATGGGACGTTTGGCAACAGCTGGAGGACCTCCAGTTTGACAACCGTGTATTAAAGGTAATGATATGCCCTCATAGGTGAACCAGATAATTACACCTCTTGGAAAGTTTCACTAATGAAATAAGTTGATCATATCATTATGGTATCACGAGAATAAACGATTAAAGGCAATAATATGCCTCTCAGAGGTGAACCAAATAATTACACCTCCTGGAAAAATTCAATAAAATGAAATAAGTTAATTGTATTATTATAAAGCAAATTAAATGAAAAATAATCATTAAAAAATAGTTTTTTGTTTTTTTGTAATCAAAGACCACCCGGCTGTCTGTAATCAAAGACCACCCGGCTGTCTCAGTACATGCAAAAACAGAAACTAAATATTAAGAATAACAGTGTTAAATATTATTAATAAAACAATATCCCAATCAACATTCAAACTGTATGGAACATAGGTCTTAAGGTCATAAATCCACTTGAACTAAAGATCGGATATCTCTCTCTTGGTGTTACCTCCTCTTCAATGGGGAATAAACTTATGAATAGTGAGGAAAGCAGTTCCTTCAGGATTCTTATTGTGGGAAAGCGCATAGTGACGTGAAACACTATGCCATTTAAAACCCTTCCTAATGTTTGTAATATGCTCATTAAGACGAATGTGTAATTCCCTAGTAGTACGTCCAATGTATTGTTTACCACAAGGACAGATAAGCAAATATACTACATTTTTAGTATGACAGCTAATAAAGGAGTGAATATCATAAGTCCTCAAAGTTTGAGTAGAGTGAAAATTAGATATTAATTATCCCCACGTTTATTGGGCTTACAAATATTACACTTCCTACAAGGAAAGAAACCTTTATAGTCATGAAATATGTTGGACGTATAGGGGGATCATAAATATTAGGAGCCACCCTATTTCTAAGTGATGGAACCCCCCTAAAAATGACTGATGTTTTTTCTGGTAAGATAGGACCCAGTAAACAATAATTTTTTAATACTGGCCAGTGCTTCTTGATAATTTATTTAACCTTTTAATGTTGCTCAGAAAAAGAAGTATTAAGTGAAAGACCAAAAGAACTGAAATTAGCAGGCACCTTCGGCCTTTCAACCAGTAGAAAGTTCCTATCAATCGCATTCACCTTCGATATAACCCTATCCAGATTAACCTCATTATAGCCCTTTATAATTCTGGATTTAAGGAATTTGGCCTGCTCCAAAAGGTTTTGAGTGCGGGTGCAATTACACCTCAAACGCAAAAATCTACTCTTTGGCACAAAGGCCAACCAAGAGGGATGATGACAACTCCCCTTTGGTATGAGGCTATTCCTATCAGTAGGTTTAAAAAAGTGGAGGTGTTGATGGTTTCATTCTGTATACGAATTTAAAGATCCAGGAACGTCAACTGATTGGTACTAGCCTCATAAGACAAGGATATACCCATATCAATAGCATTAAGAAGATCTATGTAAGAGCTTAAAGAGTCCAAATCACCCTCCCAAATCAAAATTACATCTTCAATGTAACACTTCCATAATATGAGTTTCGGTTGCATTCTGTCTTTGGAGGAGCGTTTTTGTTATCTTAGAACAGTAAGGGTGTTGGGACTACATAACATAGGTAGTGACATTCTTTAGGCACAACAAGAAGATCAACAGGTATTTTTTGCACTTGATTAGGTTCAATATTATGTCTACCGAACCAATATTGGGCAGATAAGAGAAGTTAATAGTTAGGGTTTACCTACACATTTTGTGCCATTTATTTCTAGATTAAACTCGAAAGTGGCCTCACAAATTCAGCATTGCTTACACACTTCAGAGTAGGATAATATTAATTTGGTTAAAGTGACTCTAAATATAAAAAACATATTAGATCCAAACAAGCACTTAAATGATCTTCTGCACTTGAAAGTGGTTCTCAGATGATGCCGGCTGCTATCTCTTTACTCCCATCCTGGCTTGCATGGACATGCCACGCTTTGCTGCCGTCTCAAGATTGGGGTAGTCTAAATGAACTGGAACCATATAAAAAAAAAACGGGACGCACCAGCCTAGTGCATTATCCTTATATCTTTTATTAATAAAATTTGGTAATAGGTAATATACTCACAAACCAAAAGCTTCTCAGAACAAATCCAGCTTCAGACCCATGGTACATCACATCACACAGAGGAGCAATATAGGTCTGGCAGGCTAACGCATTTCAAGGGGCTTGCCCTCTTCCTCAGAATCAAGAGACCTGTACCTTAGAGCAACACCTAAATACCCAAATAGTATGACAGATGTAAGGCAAAAGCACCTCCCACTTGACCTTTGGATGGAGACAGACCTATTAGTTCATATGGGGAATCATAGCTATATCATGATATATACATATACAATTGTGTAATGATTCCAATACATGATATCTTTAACGGAACTCATCATCCTACAATACATTTGGTCAAGTACATATGTCCAGGATGGCAAAGTCTATATGCATGTAATATTCACACACAGAATCAAGGAGTTTGGTTTGCTCATGATGCGCTTTGGGGCAATTTAACAAGAGCACTTTCACCACAGTAACCCATAGAACTGTTTAATAATATTAGATTACATGGCACAGATTGCATCTCCCCCCCCCCCCCTCCATTTGACGAGAACCTTCACCAATTTCCCCTGTAAAATGGGGTGCTAATTTATAAAACTGGCACTCCGGAATGTGGCCATTCCCAATGACCTAGGGCTGAGCTGGATTTGTAGGATAGTTTATATTGCAAGTGAGCAGGATGGTTCATGTAGTACTAGGTCACAATCCAGAACCCACCCTCTGAGGTATTGCTGAAATTGGTGTAACTGGGATCCTGTGGTGGGACTTTTTAAACCGTATTAATAGTACTTTTATAAAAGGTTCTATTTAGCATTAACGAAAGTGCTTAATTAAAACATATTTATAGTTGCAACATTAATGAAGAGTGGAGACCCTCTAGTACACAATTTTGTCTCCAGCACAGAGGGAGTTGAGATATGAAAATACCAACTAGATATGAAAACTTTGGAAACAAATTCTGGCCTGTCCCTCCAGTACCTAACTATTGGTTTCTGCACCCACCCATCATGTTTAAGTACCAGTGGTGAAGCAAGGAAAGGGGTGGGCCAGTACTCAACTCTATTTGGCACAAGGCCCTAAAGCTCCAGAAGACATTGAAAGGTACATTCATGCATCCAAGGGAGTATGTTTTTCTTTTAACATACAGCTTTTATAAAAGAGTGTACTCTTAACCATATGTTATGACACTAGTGGCACTTCTGAGCCAAACATTACAGTGTGTTGGGGCTCAAAACTATTTAGATAACAGCAATTATTGAACTGAGGAAATAGGATATTTTTCAGCCATGCTAAATATGGTTTATAGGTTCTTGGATATGACCAATATGTGCTTCAATCCAGCAAAACCTTTAATAGGTCCTACGTGCAAGTAAAATGGATGTTAATTTTCCTATTTGGGCCAGATGGTTTTGTGTGGCCTGAATTAAAAGGAAATATTTTGTAAAGGAAATTCAAACCACCTAGCCTGCCTTATGGAAATGTGACCATAACACATTAATAACAATGTTTCCTTAATAATACTTACCATAGTTATAAAAGAAATCAAGCTCCATAAACCTAGGTATGTCCACATCGCATTCTGGTCAAAGCATGTTATTGGCAGACAAAATGCTTGGATTAAACACCAATCTGTTCTTGGGTTAATAAAACATGTCATGTTTATGAAGTGCTTTCCCCCCTTTGTTTGTGGTTGTACTGTAAATCATATCATTCACACATTTTATGATATGTAAGCAAACCTGGATACAATCGACAAAATTATTACATTTCCTCTTAACAGTCTTGTATAAATCCTCCATAATTACATAAACTCTCATTCACCTTTCTAAACCCATGGGATTTTTACTATTGATGTTTAAAATCTGCAAAACCAATTTTGTAATTGACAGTGATTTGTATCTTACAGCCCAGAAAAGTGGCTGTGTTTAAGATTAGTCACGATTTTCCTTTTGTTCAGTTAGACTGTTGTAGTGTTGTATTAGTTTTGCTTTAAATATGTTTGTTCAGCATTGATAACCTTTGCCATTTGCCTTGTAGGCTAGGGGATTGGACCTGTCTAGAGTACGGACCTGTGTGGTCGTGGCTGAGGAGCGTCCTCGAATTTCTCTAACCCAGTCTTTTTCAAAGTTATTTAAAGACCTGGGTCTCCATCCAAGGGCCGTTAGCACATCATTTGGCTGCAGGGTTAACCTAGCCATATGTTTACAGGTACAGTATAATGCCCGTTCTTCTTTTCTCATCCTAAAGATATATTCTGTTTAAAGTATAGTTAACATTCTGCAGTTTTTTTTTGTCAAGTTCTTCGTATGCATCTACAGAACCAAAAAACTTTATTCATGTCTAGTTAAGTTTTTGAAGGAATTTTATAGCCAGATGGCTCTTGTAGATCTCACAAGCATCAAATCGTATTAGATTTTTGTGTAAAGGGAATGAATCTAGAGTGGATTTTGTACATATCTTTTTCTTTTTGTTTTTAAATATTCATGACAGGAATAAAAATAATGAAAGAATTCTTTATTTAATCAATACTGCAAGCTATCATATTTTCTATTTTAAAGATATGCTCTCTACAGAGCTCAGTAGCTCACATTAAACTGTACACACACAGAAACCATTGGTTGCTAGGAGTTTTTTTTAGCCAGGCTTCTGAGGGAACCCAAATGGCCCACAGGTAAGAACAATACAATGATCATATTACAAAGTTGCATAGATGTTTAACTGTGGCTCTTTGACCGCATAGGCTATTTTTTGGAATAGGTGAACTTAGTCTATAATTTCAGCTAATACTTTTTTAAGAAGTTAGAGCAACATATTTTTTTCTTTGGAAAAATAAAGGTTGAAACTTTATTGAAAAAATTATTGTTATAGTCACCTCTCAAGGGAGCCCCTCCTAATATATAATTTGCATGTGTATTTGTTGTCCCCCAAGTGCATAACGTTACATGTCTCAGTATTGGACCTTCTCTGCCATGTAGCTGCCCAACCCTCTATCTTATCAAACTGCCACCTTTGCTGGACTACTTTAAAAGAAATAAAAAAAAAACAGATCTACTGGCAGGACCAACAGCTAGTGAAGTGATTGTGGTGGGCAGATCGGAAAAAACAAAAACAGCTGGTTAATGCAATGGACAGACTGCATGTTACAGTATAAGATGTCTTGTATTTTTGATTTAGCTTTAGTTAAATTTCTATCCTTTTGCTTCTGCCTTTATAGAACTTCAAATTCTACCCACACAAATAATGAGATTCAATACAATAACAGCAAGGATGACTTTTTTGTACATTGGTTTCTTCCTCCTTTGAGGTACCCCATGACTCTTTCAAGGTGTACATAATTACTAGAAAAACATTCAAAGCATTGAAATATGAAATAAGGTAGAACAGAGCTAAGCACTCAGAAGGATCACGGTAAACCTGCACATCTAATATGTTCACAAACGGGTATAACATATTGGCTCACATTTGTGCAAACCTTAGATTACATTAACTTTGGGTTGCCTGTATTGCATAATGGGTAGAATTGTTTTTGGTTTATTAAAAGTAACACAGGAGAATCTCTGTGTTGAACTATATGTTTGAAGATCATATAGGAATATTATAAGACGGTAGCTTACAAACAATAGTTCATGGTATTGTTGATCGTTAAAAAGATTAATTTGACTGGGGTTAGAGCTTTTTTGAGCCTTTGCACAATTTAAGGGAACAATGACACCTTTTTATTATGTACACATTTTGAGTTTAAAATGTAATATTTACCTGAAATAATTTTTGTGCTGCAATTTCTGCTTTTCTAAATGTGTTTGCACCTCCATATTTTAATTATTTTATTTCATGTGCAGAGTTACATAGGTTATAGGGTTGAAAAAAAAGATTCAGGTCCATCCAATTCAACCTATGTGAGTGATTTTTATTCTCTAACAATTCTCATAGACCTGTGTATTCTACTTCATGAGAAAAACATCTATAGGTTTTCAATGCTGCTGACACTCTTAGCTAGTACCACTTCCTTCTCTAGCAGTAAATAGCCCTTTCTTTAAGATTAAACTCTAAGTCTTTTTCTAACCTCAAACCATAGCCATGTCCTCTTCAGGGACCTTAGAGTAAACCATCACCTTTCCTGAGTATTGGTGACCAAAACTGAACTGCATATTCAAGATGAGGCTGAATCAGTGTCTTGAAAAGTGGGAGAATTATTGATTTATCTCTGGAATATATGTACCTTTTTAATGCATGACAGTATTTGGTTAGCTTTGTAAGCTGTGGCTTGGCATTGCATGCATTTACTACTTCTATGATCTACAAGCACCCGCAGATATTTTTCCATCACTGATTCTCTCAAGTGAGCCCCTCCTAATATATCATTTGTATGTGTATTTTTTATCACCCAAGTGCATAACGTTACATTTCTCAGTATTAAACCTTCTCTGCCATGCATGTAGCTGCCCAACCCTCTATTTTTTCCAGGTCTTCCTGTAATGATACTATATCCTGTGTCAAAGTTATTTCCTTGCATAATTTTGTATCGTCAGCAAACATTGAAACCGAGCTCTTGATTCCAACCTCTATAAATACTAGTTGTTACTTGCATATCCAGGAACTCAATTAGCGTACCCAATTTAAGGAGAGTGGACCCATGGAAGCAGGCTAGGTTCACAGGTGCATTTTGCTTTTTTTTTTTTTCACACCATTTTTTATGTGGTTTTTTTTTGTGCATTTTTTATGCATTTTTTGTTTTGTGCAACTTTAGCTGATTGTCAAGGAGCGGGTGTCCGCAAACAACCAATGAGTCATCAGCTGTCACCTGAAATTTTTTTTTAAAAAAGTGTGGGATCCCCCTCAAAATCCAGACCAGACCCTTTTCTGAGCATGCAGGCCCAGCAGGTCAGGAGAGGGGGTGGACACGCAAACGGCTCCCCCCCTCCTCCTGAACCATACCAGGTCACATGCCTTCAATGTGTGGGGGGAGCTAACCCCCCCAAGCACCTTGTCCCAATGTTGATGATGACAAGGGCCTCCTCCGTACAACCCTGGGCTGTGGTTGTGGGGTTCTGCGGGGGGGATGACTTATCAGAATCTGAAATCCCCTTTAATAATGGGTCCACCAGATCCCCCCCCCCCCCCCCCCCACACACACACACACACACACACACACACACACACACACACACGTAAATGAGTAGTACCCCTACTCATTAACCAAAAGAGTGTCAAAAGTGAATAAAAGCTCAACTCAATGTTTTTGATAAGTCCTTTTAAAAAAATTTTAAAAAAATTGTCTTTAATCCAACGTCAATCACAATGCTGTTTAGCTACAGGCAGGGAGCAGGGAAGTAACCAAGCTATATTGCTTACCAGCAGTAGAGAATCATCAGGTTGCCGACATAGCTGTGTCATTTGGTAGGATTATGTGCATCTGAGAAGTAAATGGACAGGAATCTAAATCATATGTCAAGTAAAACATTTTTGATATATGTGTTTTATCTTTGTAAATTAACTATTTGCCTGGAGTTCAACTTTAATTCAAGCACATTATGTATACTAGGTATTGTAAGAATATTGTGAAATATAATTATTGGAAAGATTTAGGATGCTTACACTTACCAGCCACTTTATTAAGTGCACCTGTTAATTTTCTTGGTAACACAAATTACTAATCAGCCAATTACATGGCAGCAATTCAATGCATTTAGGCATCTAGACGCAGTGAAGATGACTTGCTGAAATTCAAACCGAGCATCATAATGGGGAAGATAGGGGATTAAAGTGACTTTGAACGTGACATGGTTGTTGGTGCCAGACAGGCTGGTCTGAGTATTTCAAAAACTGCTGATTTACTGGGATTTTTACACACAAACATCATTAGGGTTTACAGACACTGGTCCAAAAATGAGAAAATATCCAGTGCTAACGTGAACGGCAGTTGTGTGGACGAAAATGTCTTGTTGATGTCAGAAGAGAATGGGCAGACTGGTTCAGCTGTGACATTCAAATGGTAGGGTTAGAATCTGGTGTAAAAAACTTGAAAGCATGGATCCATCCTGCCTTGTATCAACAGTTCAGGCTGGTGGTGGTGTACTAGTGCAGGGGATATTTTCTTGACCCTGGCAAGGTGTACCTAATAAAGTGGCGGGTGAGTGTATATCCACAAGAAATTGACCATATCACATTTGTTTGGGTAAATATTGCATGGTAAGTATATAACATATCGAAGATAACCTAGGGAGTGTCTAACTGGACTGAACTGGGACCCCTGTGAAGGCTGTGACTGAACTGAACCCTTTGGAAAATGGCAAACTATCCTGCTTAGCTCTCATGTGTTTGAGAAATAATACAAGCTGGAGCTACGAATCCTAGGCAACTCATACAAGCCTACTCAATGCTTTCATATCAAGCTCAAAGTGAGTGTTTTGGGCTTGAGAAACCAGGTCTTTCAGTGGTTACAACAGTTACTGATATGTAACTACTTTAAGCGTTACAGTTCTGTCCAGTTGATATGCCATGTTGTCATCAGTAAATCCTGTACTGTATGCTACAGGTCTGGTGGCAGTAACCTCATTCACTTTCCAAGAAAATAGGACATAAATCGTTTTGGCCACTATGGGAAAGCACTCCATTTTTGTGAAGAACACTTGTTTTCCTGTCTTTTTAAACAAGCTGCTAAATATAATTTCATATGAATTTGAAAGCCTGTTGTTATCGTTTGAAGGCCTACTTTCAGGTCTTGAAGTGGCCTGTTTTTTAGGGGTATTCACCCTTGCTGCTATGTGGTCTCCAGTAGAGGTTCTGACCACTCAAAATGCCATATGATGTAACTGGGCCTTCTAAACCGTAACAACAATGGATTTACAACAAAGGAAAATTATTGAAAAGCCATAGAACTTGAGTTCCCATGTCTATGGGCTTCCTTACAGTCTATGGGATACAAATGAGTACCAACAATTTAGGAAGGCGCATGGAATTGAACATTTTTGATTTCTTATAATGCTGAGATGAGTCAACATCATGGTTCATGAGTCAACTTGGTGTATACTGAACAGTGTATCTGCTTGTTGGATGTCTTCCAAGGGCCTGATCTTTTTATAGAGAACAATTAGTATCCCTCATGTATTGCCAGCTTTAGTTTGTCCATATTATATATGCCAGCTACATGTTGCTTCACTGTCTGTTTTTTAGAGGTGTTTTTAAATGTAAAAAGCTGCTTAGGCACC